GTGAGGCTTCTCCCCTGTGTGTGTCTTCCGATGTTCAATTAAGTTGCACGGGTGGTTGAAGTTTCTCCCATAATTATGGCACTTGTCCGGCTTCTCCCCTGTGTGGGTTCTCCGGTGTTTGAGTAACGTATCTCTCCCGGAAAAGCTTTTCCCGCAGTCCTGGAATTCGTGAGGCCTCCCTCCCGTGTGGATTTGCAGGTGACTCACCAAACTGGTCCTCTGGCTGAAGCTTTCCCCACAATGGGAGCACTTGTGTGGTTTCTCTTCCATGAGGCCTCTCTGATGGCTCACCCAGATCTCTCACTGGGGAAAGGATTTCTCGTCCTCAGACTATTCGTACGCTTCCTCTCCCATGTGCATCCTCTGCTGCTCAGTCAGGGCGGATCCTCGCTGGAAGCTCTCCCACACATGGAGCATTCATGAGGATGTTCTTCGGCATTCAGCCTCCCCAGACCCAAACTGTGCTGGCCGTTCCTCCCAGGATTTGAGGAGAAGGGCTTTTCTGCTCCAAAGTGCACTGGGCTTTCACTAAAGGGAACTGGACTTCTGGGTGATGGCTGCGTTCATTTGCTCCCTGGTGTCCTTTGGACTCACGCTTTTTGTTATGTACTGAAGTTCTCACCCTGGGCCAGCAGGGGGATACTGTACATAGTTTTTACTCAGGTCCACATATGCAAATAAGGAATTGAAAGTGACATTCAGTGATTGGATAGTTACAGAAAGTTGTTACTGTTGCGTTATAGTGGAGCTCTATATAAGCAGGCTGGCTGAACCCTTCAGTTAAGTTCTGTTCTGGGTCTGTGAATAAACAAGAGCTGTTTGAAGAATCGCTGTGTCGTCTGATATGTTCACCCACAACTTAACACTTTTGCTCTGCAATCTCAGCTAACAAAGAAATGTTCCTTAGAGATATTCCCTCTGGCACAGCTTTCCCTTGGTGGGAATTCTCCATCTTGATCTTTCTCCTTTTACCTGCAGGTGAAACCAAAAACATTTTTTAAACATTATGTGTGTGGGAAACCCCTAAGTAGGACCTGGGAACAAGAGTCCCTCCTAGAGTCTCCAGCAGCTGCTATTCAGGAGGATTACTGCTTCCAACCACGGAGGCAGAGCATATAACCATTCAAAGTCTTAAGGTAAAGGTAAGGGGACCCCTGACCATTAGGTCCAGTCGTGACCGACTCTGGGGTTGCGGCGCTCATCTCGCTTTATTGGCCAAGGGAACCGGCGTGCAGCTTCCGGGTCATGTGGCCAGCATGACTAAGCCGCTTCTGGCGAACCAGAGCAGCGCATGGAAACGCCGTTTACCTTCCCACCAGAGCAGTACTTATTTATCTACTTGCACATTGACGTCCTTTCGAACTGCTAGGTTGGCTGGAGCAGGGACTGAGCAACGGGAGCTCACCCCATCGCGGGGATTCGAACTGCCAACCTTCTGATCGGCAAGCCCTAGACCCTGTGGTTTAACCCACAGCGCCACCCGAGTCCCCTACCAAAATCTTATCCTCCAGGAATTGTATCTAATCCCCTGTTAAAGCCCTCCAGGTTTTTCAGCCATTGGAAGGCACCACACTTTATTAGGAATATAGGAAGACTTTACACTGTGTAGTAATATCGATTAATAATAATAGCCAAGTCGTACCAGGCATTCATATCTAGGGAAGGAACGCCATAACTGGGCTGCCACCATTCAGATGGTGCCTTCTGCCAGGTCCATCGAGGTCAGTCTTGCCTCCACTGACTGGCAGTGGCTCTGCAAGGTCTTCCCAACCATACCTGCAGATGTCCTGGTCAGGGATGATGGGAGCTGTAGTCTTCAGCAAACAGAGGGCACCAGGTTGGCAAGGCTGAAAGCGTCTGTTTCAATCTGAAGTTCTTTGCCAGCGTGTTAAAAAGGGATTAAGTCAAAATTAGCAACCAGATTTTTAGGAGTTCTCTTCACGGAATCAAGTCCCGCCTGCTAAATCAGAACTCCTGTCCTTTTAGGGCAGAGGCAGATTTTCACCCAATTCAAAAATGACAAGGAAGCCTACGAATGAAAAAGTTACAGTATGAATACCGCAACTTACCAGGTATGTGTGTGTTTGTGTGTAATCAAAAGCATGGGAAGCAATCCAAAAGCATTCGCTGCTACTTGAGAAGACATTCAGCAACTACAAAGATCTGGAGACATGTTTTGTTTAAAAAACAAAGATCACGTGATCACTGAGTCATTTCCAGGAAGGGAAACTCCCAGTGACTGAAAACTGAAAAAGCGAAACTTAACTCGGGTCTTCAGCGCGAGGGAGCCATGGCTGCTGCAGGGGGTCACATCCAGAATCTCCGTGAGGAAGCCACTTGCTCCATCTGCCTGGATTACTTCAAGGATCCAGTGACCATTCCAGAGTGTGGGCACAACTTCTGCCAATCCTGCTTGGTCCTGTTCTGGGGGGAATCGAAGGCGGAGGCTTCCTGCCCTCAGTGCAGAGAAAAAGTCCAGAGAAGGAACCTTGTCTCCAACCGGCAACTGGCTAACGTGGTGGAAATAGCCAAGAATCTCAGCCTTCAAGAGGGAAAGGAGGAAGGAGGGAAAGGAGGAGTCTGTGAGAAGCACCAGGAGCCCCTGAAGCTCTTCTGCAAAGTCCACGAAGCCCCCATCTGCCTGGTGTGCGACAAATCAAAGGAACATGAAAATCACAAGGTGATTCCTCTGGAAGAGGCTTTGGAGGAATACAAGGTAGGAGATCCCTGGATCTGGAGGGGGAGAAATAAATAGCTGTGGATTCTTCTAGGGAGGTTTGCTTTTGAATTTTCAGGTCCAAAGTAGGCATGGCATGAATTGGTGGTTGTTTATTACCTTAGAAGCAGCCCAGGGGAAGCCTGAGGGCTCCTGGGATGGCTGGAGGGGGGAGTTGAAGTCTTTCTCTCTGCCAGGAGGACAAGGGGATCTTCCCTTGAAATACTCACAGCAGCTTCAAAGATTTGAACTGGGACCTTGGCCACTTCTCCCTGAGACCTCAAAGTGAGAAGTCAGGCTGGGACCGCCAAGGAAAGGAGAGGAGGCTGAGAGATCACGAACTGCTAGGTTGGCAGGAGCTGGGACTGAGCAACGGGAGCTCACCCCATCGCGGGGATTCGAATTGCCAACCTTCTGAT